AGGGTGCGAGTTTGTTTGTATGAAATGTCCAGAACCGGCAAATCCACACGGAAAGAAAGCAGTGACCGCTGACGGATGTGGGGTTTTTCTTTGGAGTGACAGAAATGTTTTGGAACTAGACACAGGTGGCTTTCACACACTGTGAATGTCCTAAATGTCACTGAATTGCTCACTTTTTTTTTTTGCTGATGATTTCTAAAATTGGGAGCTATATATTTTTTTATCTTCAGCTTTTTGAGGTAAAATTGACATATAAAATTGTAAGATATTTAAAGTGATATGACGATTTGAAATATGTATAACATTGTGAAAAGAATGCTCCATCTAATGAACACATCCATCACCTCACATATTTATTTGTATAATATTTGCATGTGTGTGTGTGAGAGAGAGAGAACATTTAAACTTCACTCTCAGAAAATTTCAATTATTCAATACTAGAGGCCTGGTGCACAAAATTCGTGCACGGGTAGGGTCCCTAGGCCTGCCTGGCGATCAGGGCTGATCTGTGGGGTGACTGGCAGAGCTGGCACCCGCCTTGGCTGGCCTGGGGCCTGCGGACTAGGAGCAGCTCCTGCATTGAGCGTCTGCCCCTGGTGGTCAGTGGTTGCACTGCTGTTCAGTCGATTTGCATATTAGGCTTTTATTATATAGGATAGTGTTACCAACTATAGCCACCACATTATATTTATGTTCACTTTAAAATGGTTAATTATTTAAATGTGAATTTCACCCACATGAAAAAACAATGACCAAAAAAAAAAACGGGGGACATCTGTGATACTTTCAACAATAAAGCTAAATAAAAAAAACCAACATACTAGGTTCCTGCTCTCCAACATCTTCCCTTTCACCTATATCAACCCTTGACTCCAGCAAGAGGGGCTCTGGGAAATTCCCCTCTACACCCCGGTCCAAATGCCCATGTGCCGGCCATTTTCTTGATGTGGTGAGCATCTAGACTTGGGGAAATTCCAGCTTGCCTTTCCTGCAGGAGGAATTCATGAAGCATCAGGTATCGCTGGATCCAGGGGCTCAGCTGATATCAGATATCATCAGGTATCTGTCTCTCTCCACCTCTTGAAAGCAAAATCTTTCCCATGATCCACTAGGCCAGTGGTCAGCAAACTCATTAGTCAACACAGCCAAATGTCAACAGCACAACGATTGAAATTTCTTTTGAGAGCCAAACTTTTTAAACTTAAACTACATAGGTAGGTACATTGTTATTAACTTAGGGTACTCCTAAGGCTTAGGAAGAGCCACACTCAAGGGGCCAAAGAGCCGCATGTGGCTCGCGAGCCGCACTTTGCCGACCACTGCACTAGGCCCTAGGCAACCTGGCTTTGCCAATACTCTATGACCTCATTTCCTACTATTCTTCTGCTTGCTCAGTAGACTCCAGCCTCCTGGCCTCTTCTTCATTCAAACAGCCAGAGGGGCCGGGGGGAAAAAATGGACACATATGTAATACCCTTTGTAATAAAAAATAAAATTAAAAAAAAAAGTAACTAAAAAAAACAAAAAAACAAACAGCCAGAGGGACACCCTTCCCTCAGATATCTACATGGCTCCCTCCTTCACTTCCTTCAGGTCCCTGCTCCTCAGAGAAGTTTCCCTAAAATTGCACTCCCAGCCTTTCTTTTCTTTTTGTGTTAATCCTCACCTGAGGATATTTTTTCCACTGATTTTTAGAGCGAGTGGAAAGGAGGAAGAGAGAGAGAGAGAGATACAGTGACGTGAGAGAGATTATGTCAATCAACTCCCGTGCGAGCAGGGCTGGGGATCAGGCCTGCAATCGGGTTACGTGCCCTTTGCTGGAAGCAAACCCAGGATCCTTCGCTCTAGGGCCAACGCTCTATCCACTGAGCCAAACCGGCTAGGGCTGCACTCCCAGCCTTTCTACCCCACGGCCGTGGCTAATGGTCTTCCTAGCACAAGTCACTTCTAGAACTCATCTTCTTGGATTTGCTGAATGATTCAGGAACAGTGCCTGGAACACAGTAGGCACTTAGTGAGAGGCTGTAGAATGACTAGAGGATCCTGGGAGGTCCTATTTCTCTCCTGCCCTCAGGCCAGGACTGGACAGCTGTTGAGTCCTGGAGGGTGGGGAGGAGGCGGCGGCAGCAAGAGCAGGAAGTAAATACAGATCCAGGGAGGTGGACTTTGATATTTTGTGTAAAAGAAAAAGGACAGAAACTGTTATTTGCTGAGAGCATTTGATATGTGCCATGAACTTTATATACCACGACTGTCTTCATGTTACAGAGGAAACAGGCCTGCAGGAGTGGGGCGATTTCTCTAAGCGCCCCCAGGACTTCCCTCTGCCCCGGGGCCAGGGGCGGGGTGGACAGGCACCCTGTACACGTAGTACAGTCCTCCAGCCACGTTGTCAGAACGCCCGAAATGTCCTGTATTCGGTTTCCTTTTCAATAAGTCACACATTTTCAGCACTTAGAGTTATTTTTCAATTTAGCTGGGCGTTACATTTCCGAAATCTGGCAACCCTAGCCGGGGAGGGTCTGGGACCCCAGGCCCGGGGCTTCAGGGAGGGGGGTCCTGCCCAGGACCCCTTGCTGCCTCCGGGCGAACCCTCCCCGTGACCTTACCCCTGGAAACAGGTCGACTCTCGGGGCTCCAATCCTCTGTCCTGGGATCCCGCTCTAAAGATTTGTAAACCCGTCGGGGCCCCTTTAAGAGCGGC